GTCATTGCTTTCAATGCCTTAAAGTCTCATATTCCAGCTTATGTGCTCAGCAATTCAAGATAACTTGGATGATCTTCATGTAGTACATGAACATCCGAACAAAAGTCATCAAATCTGTGTGATATTTCCCTATTATGACCTAGCTCGTGTACGATAACCCGTCTCCTCCCAATTAGCTGTAGAGCACTTTTCCGATGCCGTGTAAGAATCACTTAGCCATCCCTCCCGTTTTTCTCTATCTTTCTGGGTAATCGAACTATCTCCTTGAATTCTTTCAACCTACATGATGCACAGATTTCAAGAAGCACACTCTCATTTTCGATATTCTTGAGTCATCCAACCTGGAACGACATCATTCCAAAGTACCCTTCATACGACTCTTTGCAGCGACATCACATACACGTTCAAGTATGCAATCATTCGAGGAGTGGTCATCCTTTCACAACAGCTTAGCATCCAATTTTACGAAAGAAAAACCTAATAGACGGAAATATCATATCTTTTCCTAATAGTATGAATAGACTTCATCATTTTAGACGCTTATGAGCATCGTCCAAAATAATGGCAATGGTGCTATCACATTCGTAGCATTTTCACATCCTGGAGTCAATAGCCTTAACAAAAGATGCTTCGATGCTCTCTAAAATGTTCATTCCTCTCTTTTCCAGTCGCTGGCTATAATCTCACCATATATTGTTCTCTTTTCTCTAGCTTGATAGACGCCACGTCACTTTTCACATCCTTTATATTCGATGCTTCTATTGTAAGATTATTGACCACGTCTGGTGCTTGAAATCGAGAACAGAATTTACACTACGTGGGCTCCGATAGTTTACCTATGGGACAATGGGAACCCTATTATAGGGAGCCTGCCATATCCTCAAAATCAGCAGTATTGACATATGCGAAACATGTGAATGCGGGCAATCACAGATATTATAGGCATGTTCGAAATTGCGGCGTGAATATTTTCACTGTGTATCTTCGAGTCGCAAACTTGGACAAATATCGCTGTAAGTGCAATCAATATTCAGTAGTCCCTGAGATTTCATGAAATTATGATATTGTCCCCGTTATAATTTGTCATATCGGAAAGAAGAACATAGAGGAAAAGATGGTGTGACAGTGTAAGAAGCAATCACAGTATTGAAATTTGTGCTTTCTTCTTTGATTGTATTGGAATAACAGTCTCCCGTCTTTCCCCAAAGTTGAAAAAGCAGCAACACATAAGATTATGGTGCGAAGTATTCTTGATCAGAAAAAACATGCCACAGAAAAAATAATATGAGTGTTTCGATCAAAACGGTCCAAAAAAGATACTAGAAATCTAAACTATGAAAAATGTTCATAGCATCCGTGAAAAAAAAGCGATACATCAAGTTCAAACAGATTTTAGGATGCCAATGCATCAAGACAATACCAAGATACAAAATTAGAAAAGGTCAAGTCAAAATTGCAAAATTTTTACTGAATAAAAAAAATTTCAAATTTCGATGAAAAAAAGGGTTGAACAAGGAAAGAGAAAGAAACCGCCTCAGAGCTATACCACATCCTCTATACCTCCCCACCACCACATCCTCCACCCCCCGCCAAGTTTGCTTCTCACCCAACCATCCACACCCGCCCTCTCACACACACATACGCACCCGGTCATCCGCTCCAACCACCAAAATCCACAACCCAACTCAAACCCTCATCATCATCATCAACAACAACAACAACAAAAAAAGGCGCCACGCAAACACCCCCAATTCACAAGCCACATCACCCAATACTCCTACCCCTCCCTTCTCTCAATCCTACTCGCCCACCCCACAACCCCCGATGTCACGATCCACCACGTCATCCGGGCAACAAACCACACCCCAGCCCAGCGCGGCGGTTGATCGGGACCGGCCGCCCGAAGAATGGAACACCTCCGTCTTATTGAACCCTGGTAATAATATCACACATACACCCATACGCCAGGCTTTCTCTTCTCCTCCAACCGCAACGTTTACCAGAAACGGGGGGGGGGGGGGAAGGGAAGAGCGAAGAGGGTGGGAAGGCATATGTGTCTGCGTGACCTAGTCTCTCACCGTTTGGAAACAAAGTACGTACGGTAGTTGTACGCCCAGGTAGAATACTCTCTGTAAGGCCTATATGATCGACCCCCCCCCCGCGATCTCAACGATCGCAAGATCGCGATGAGTTAGAGTGGACAAGCACGTGGACCACATGACTAACATGTCTCCTTCCCCCCCCCTCCCCCAAGCTACATATGCACAGCCGCCCATAGTATGTGCAGGAAGTAAGAGAGTCAAGGTTAAAAATGTAGCAAGTACGACAAGGTTTCTCTCTGCTTTAGTTGCAGTTTTCCAAGGTTGGGAAGGGGGGGGGGGCATGAGTACATTGCATACTGCATTGCAGTTGGCCAAAAAGCAAAAGAGCATCGAATTTTTTATTTAAAATAATAAGTTAGTCTAGTATTGAGAAAAGGACCAAAAAACAAAGAAGGTATGCATATGCATGTACTACCGCAAGCAACATAAGGCCCGATACGCGAGACCAACCGAAGCCACATGTTCGTAAAAGTCGCGAGTCTTGCTTGCTTCCTCGGCTGAGAGTTTGAACACATACATCATCAGACATGTGTTGATACAAATCGCCCCAACACATGCCTTTGCGGCTTATTTGTTCTAGATAGCACATATGTACACTTACGCCGCCCCCATCACGCACCCATGGCAAGTAAAGTATGCAGGTATACGTCACTTGCAGCGTAGCCACGCCAGGGGGGTGATGGAGTTGCAAGGTGCAACACAAAAAGAGAGTATGCGTTAGACAAATGGGGAGATGGAGAAAAGGAGTTAATGTACCGGAGATCAACAAAAGCAGGACGCCCTATAGCTGGGGAGTTTGAGCGATCAACGCCGCATATACACATATACGGAGGGAAAGTTTCATTTGTCGGTGCTCGAGTTCGATACGAGGTAGAGGGTCCCGCAGTCAGGTTTTCTTATTCGAGAAGAAGGGATAGGTTGATGATGACGGACGGGGCAATATGATCGGACGGCGTGATGACAATTCCAAGATTGTAGGAGCGGCGACACAGGAGTGGGTGGGCAACAAAGGTGGATCGAGTCAGCCAGGGCACGTTTGGCTATGGTATTGGTTGCTGGGGTTGTGTGCTGAGCTGTGGTGTGGGGGGCCGTGTTCGATACATACGAAGAAATAAAGGGAGGCCTGTTTTGTCCATGGGAATTATGCATGCGGAGGACCCAAGGCCGCACAAGCCTCACGGTTACGGCCGTACATGGGCTGATTTGCCTGAGTCTTGTCCGTAGCCTCGTTGAATCAGGTGTATCGCAACATGCAGACAACTCTAGACCTCTGGTGATCATGATGATTGTAATAACGATGTACGTCGGAGTCGGCGCCTCCGGCAGTACCTTGGTGATAGACGTTGTGTGGAGCGTTAATGTCGTCATACCTTCCCCTCTGCCGACGAAATATCAAGTTTGCAGCTGCAGGCGACTGCAGATCCCAGGCCTTCCCTCGGGTATCGCCCCCCGTCTTGTGTCAGCATCTCGTCAGCAGGAATGGGACGGAAGTAGGGGAACGAGACGAACAACTGGAGCCAGGTGCTAAAAAAAAGATTAAGGGACCATATGATGTGCACTACACTGGCGTTAGCTTATTTGGTGCTGTTCCATCCTTTGGTGATGACAAGATAATCATCGGCGAAGTGATAGCAGCAGGGGGGGGGGGAAGATGACCGTCGTCGTAGATGGGGGGCATCAAGCATGGCAGTGGGCATACTACAACCTGTTCGGACGTTCTCCGGAGTCCAGAATGCGTGATACAGCACTAACGCCGGCAGGACTGACAGAAAAAAAAGGCCAACCCAGCGATTGATTAGACTTGCATTGGGCTTACCAAGAGAAGGTAGTGTGAGCAAGAAGAGGTAGTGTGATGGCCTGAAACCCATGTTTATGATCCACGGGCTGCATGAGCTGGCGGGCATTGCATGCCCATCACAAGCAGACTGTCGTGTTGGAGATTAGGTTTCGATAGAGTGATGTCCACGTCAACACATCACTGCGGCCGCGGGCATCTCCCGACAGCCAGGTTGGTAAGTGTGGATCTGCTGATGGTCGTCCACGTTGTGAAGGGCCGAACGACAGTGGCGACAGTGATCTTGTGCCCCGCCATTTGCCTCACGGCAGTCATTTCAATCAAGGTGCCCTGCAGCGCAATCTTTCCGGCCTTGAGTAGCGCACCGTACCCAATGTTTAGATGCTACGGTAGCTTCGGACGATGCTGTACCAGGGCTCCATACATGCAACCGCTTAGTGGAGCAGAGCAAAACGCTCGGCACTCCCCACAGAGACTTTCTTTTGGTATCACTCCTGAACCCGTCGCGAGCCCCAGCATTGAGACCCCCCGGCTCGGGTTCGGTCATCACATGTGACGGCACTTGCAACGTGCAACTTGCAATGTGGCGGGAGGCTTCGCTGAATGCGAAATAGGCGCTTGTGCCGACATGGACTGACTGGACCCGACAGTCCTGGACGGGTACGTTCGTCCGTGATCATTTCCCTTGTTGTGCAGAAGGGATGGGGATCTGCCCGTAGCTCCGGGATTGATGAGTGCTAAGTACGTAGGGATCAGATGCCGAAATTCAGACGAAGCGCATGGGTAGGAATGATTGACGTGTCGTGGGTCATCGGGTTAATATTGCGATGCAATCCTTCGATTCCTCCACATCGTCGATGTGATGCTTAATCTGTAGCCATCAATATTCACTGCGGATAGACGTTGCGATGGAAAAAGCAACAACAACGGTCACTAATTTGATGGGGCCAAAGCGTCAGGGTACGATTTGGCTCACGGCATAGGCGCATAGACAGCGGGAAACCATCTGAGCTTGGTCCTGCGTTCATTATGCACGCCTGGATTGAATCCACAGCAGAAAAAAAAGCACCAAAGTCTCCTTGACCGCTCCCACCCCTTGCACTCTAGGTGCGGATCATTTTGAGTGTTGATTGACATGGAATTTTTGCAGGAGGATTCCTTAGACGACCAATTCTCCGCATCTCACCCCAATCGTAGAGATGAACTGGCAGAATGTAATCCATGTGTATGTGTGCCATTACTTTTTCAAGAAGCCAGCCTTGTGGCGCTGCGAGATTGAAGCACTCCTTGGGGCGCATAGCGATACGGATCTGGTGCCAGTCTCACTGCCAGCTCGAATAAGGAAGCAGGGGGAACACTGACGGAGATAGCGGGCTGTTCGAGATCCAAGCCTGGGGGTAAATCAAAAGCAATAAGCGGGGCCGTTAAGCCCAGAACAGTAGCGGTTGCTTTCATGGTGTGGCCTGTAGCGTCTCCATCGTACGCGCGAGAACGATGCTAACGTCCTGTCACACCGTCCTGACGAATCGATTTGCCGGACATCAGCCACATGGTCGAAGATACGCTAACGATTTCTGCAGTGACAGGGTACTGAGGCAAGCCGACGCGGACGTTTGGTGGGTCAGGCCGAGATGTGTCGACAGGGCCCAGAAATGGAGCATCAGCGTATCCAGTGATGATGCTCGCTTAGTTTATTTCCACATTTTTTTAATCCACTGTGGTATCGGCGGCATATCATACCCAGCTAGACCAAGGCGAGGGGAGGGATACAGACACGTCGGCCAGACCACAGATCGCAATCTCTACATGCCGTATATGGACGAGACTGTGCTTTTTGCGACGGTCAAAGTCTCTGTCAAGTTAGCGGCTTGATGTCTTGCAGAAGTGGACTTCAAGGTTTGTGTGTTGGTGAAACAGGAGGGTTCGATAGGCTTGCTGGCGCACGTTGCACCGTCTACCGAGTCTGTCGACGAACATGTCCACTCTGGTAATGGGGAGTGAATCCTTCCGGTAGATACCGGTAACAATCGTTTATGGAAGGCGTACCGAATACCCTGCAAATGGATCTTCATCGGCGGTGATGCACAATGCACAAGAGCTGACAGGAAAATCGGGGGGTTTGCAGTCCGCCCGTCATCCGGCATGGTCAGTATTGGTGGACATTCCCTTTGATCCGGCTGATCTGAGACTTGGCTGTGTCACATCCTGGGGAATCTCACGGTCAGCCGAGCACATCTCGCCGTGTTGGTGGGAAAGGACTCTGGACTGATCTACGTGGCCCCTTGTCGTGGCGTAATGAAACCGGAAGACATACTCAACAAGAAGAAGACGGGACAGGGTGCGCGACACGGTACTGGACCGTTTGTCGTTGCTGTTGACCTGTTTGGGAGCTCTACTGCCCCATTCGGGCCGCTAGGTCTCATTTGTTACCCTGTCATCCGTATCCCTGTGACTTGGTAGGGGAGCGAAGGCTGGGTATTGGGAAGTCTCATGTGGACAGAACGTGTTTGATCATCGGAGCCGCTCAGCAACGGTGGCTTGCATGCGGATGGCACGGCAAGGCAAGGCAGAAATGAGCCCGGGATGCCTCGACATGAGCCATGTGTGAGGCTTCAAGAAGAAGGGCTGCGGACGATTTTGTTTTGACAAGGAGCAGGTGGGCGGCCTATGACACGAGAATATAGGAGTACCCCATTAATAACGAGTCGTCGAGATGGTATAATGGCCGAAGGAGCTGGAAAGCCGAATGCCCGGAGTGTGGATATTAAAAGACAATTTCGCTTGGGCAAGAAGGGAACAACGTGTAAGTATGTGTGTAAACCACGGACGATACAGACGCGTTTGACGTGGCGTATTGTGTGCCGCAGGATGCGAATAAGACCCAATGGTCTTGTCCAGTAACAAGCAATGTTAGAGCAGGCCATATGTTCTTGCAAATGCCTCTGTATACCAAGATTGGTTTGCTCAAGACGTATGTAGTATGTATTTCCTAAATAGTCGGTTACGCTTCACTTGGATTTTGCTCATTTCCTTGGCCAATTTGCACGAGTAAGCAGGCTGGTATGTTTTTTTTAAATGTACCAGGAGAACCCTTGGACTAGTCAAGCAGTGGAGATATCAGTTGTCCGGCTGTACCAGATTGAGGGATTTTACACATTACTTTGGGAAAGTCGGGCATAGGAGCTTTGCGCTTGTGTTCGTATCGAGGAGGTTGTCTTGGGCAGTGCACTGTAAACAAAATGGACGCTGCATGTCTGGGGAGAGCAACGACGGGCATACATGTGTAACGGGCGTTGTTTTCAGGCCAATCGAAAATGGCCGTTAATGCGAGGTTTTGGCGGGCCAATGCGGTTGTTCCTAGGATTATCGATGGCGTTGCGCTTGGCGAAACCCCCAGGCGGCGTCATAGCGGTCCATGTACCCAGGTACATTGTGCCTCATACGATTCGGAAGAAGGCCGGTAGATCGACTGATTATTTCAGGAGCAGAGGCCAATAAGAGAGATGCAATTAAGGCAGCAGCCTTGCTATGTCCGCACTGGCTTCGCCTAGATACTTTAGCCGGGATACCCTGGGAGGCGTCATGGCCCGGGCGGGAGGCGACACAACAGCTCAATCGTAGTGATGCTAGGCGGCATCGCTTGTGACAAGGTGATGATGGAGAAGATTGTGGTGCTTGGGGGAGAGGCAGGCAACAAGGCTCCAGCAAGCCAGTATGAGACGAGCCCGAGGCGCAGAAGGTGCGGCGGCCAGGGAGAGTAGTGAGGAGGGTGTTGGCATGTCGGTTCGTGACAATGAAACGCCGAGAGGATCGCTCGGATGGCACCAGGGAGGCAGACTGATGGATGGATGCAAGCGTGTTCCCGCTGATGATGGGTCACGATGCGGTCCAGGTATTGATCCCCCTGCCAATCCCACGCGCCCTGAGATCAGAGACAGCAGCTACAGATATGTACAGTAGTACTTACAGTAGTGTGTATGCCTGGGCTGGGCTGGTGGTGGTCTGTTCCGGGAGATCATGCACGCATTCCGCGGTGGGCAGGCGAGCGAGCGAGCAAGCAAGCAAGCAAGCAAAGAGCGGTGGCCCAGGGCTTGCTCAAGGGGAAGGCGGGTGGGCATGGCGTCAAGCCGGTAGAGAAGGGCAGCATGCGTTGCGTACGTACTAGCTGGATGAGGGCGGGGTGAAATGGGAATGGGAGCAACGTGTGCGGTGCATTGCATCGCGCGCGAAACCCAAAGAGACGGTATGATACGCGCGAGTCGCGCGGCGGGCGTGGGTGGAGGGTGGCCCGAGCTGGGAAATTTTCCATCAACGGAAAACCCTGGATGGCGTGTCCGTGCACGTGATTCTAGGTTCGCAGGTTTGCCGTCCGCCGCCCGTGTGTTGTCGCACAGGCATGACGGACGGGCTTGCTATATGCTACACGTCTATGTATGTACGTATGTACATGCAGATGCAGGAGCAGAGTCAAGTAGAGTAGAGTAGCCTGGAGGGGATAGTAGACGGGGGGGATCAAGTCACAGTTCATATCTGATACGGTCCAGCGCCAAACAGCAGGGCGGAAGGCGAGACACGCGATGGCGGTATGTAAGTAGTGTACATGTTATATTGGGGGCGGACGAAGATGAAGGCGAGGGCGAGGGCGAGGGGTATGCCAATGCAAATGCCGTGGGCGTGGGCGAGCGGCGATGGGCAGAGGCGTCTTTCGGCCTGGCTAGCGGCAAGTGTCTGCTGTGTCATCGGACTGGAGACTGGAAAGTGGAGTGTCGAGTACAGTAGTATAGATAGATAGATGGCCAGGTGCGGTGTGGCATTGCAGCAGCACGCAGCTTCTCGAAGGCGGGCCAGCGCCAGGGAAGGTCGGGAGATGGGGGGTTTGCGGCGTGTGGATTGGTGGCGGCATGTCATCGGCTACAGCAGTTGTCGAGCGACAGCGACGGTGACAGCCAACGTGGCCCCCCGGCATTAGCTGCATGCGCTTGCTGCTGATCGACCCGCCTCTTTCTCAAAGATCCTCCACAGTCGGACGAGGCCAAGCCGTGGCTCAACGCCGCCATCCCGCCCTGGCGGCGCCCCAACGACGTCGTCGCTACTGGGGTCGGAGACGGTCGCTGGAAAAAGGCATCATCCGTCGCGCCGCCGTGGCCTCCCGCGCTTGCCCTGATCCAAATGCTGTGCGTGTGCTGATGCTGATGCTGAAACCAGCAGCCGTATGGGGGAAGGGGATGGCCATGGGATGGGATGGATGGATGAATGAATGGGAAGGGGGGGGGCCATTCCACCCATCGCTTACTTGCTAGCAGCAGAGTAGAGCAGCAAACGCCAACATGCGGTGAGCACTGTCCTCGACAACTCTCTCTCCCCCTCCCTCCCCTTCTTCTGGCGCCTCTCCGGGGAGACCTCTGTCGAGGGGCGAGTCAGCCTCGCCGACGTCTCTGAGTTTGTATGGTGGCCATGGTACACTTTCCAAGTAGATATGTACGTACGTAAGTACATACATACATGCTGTACGGATCTATGTATGGATGGATGTACATAGCATGTATGTATGTATGTCAGTATGTATGTGCGCTGCATCATCACCACCACCACCACCACTGCCGCTGCCGCCCGCCTTGCTGCCTCAATATTGCCAGCAAATCATGCGCTTCTGCATTCTCTATTGCTTCGCCAGGCTCGACTCTCCACTGCCGCCCTCGCTATTCTGCAAAATGCAGGCCAATCAGTCGCATACCCCCAAACTCCATGGCGGCCCTGATGCGGACAAGTCACCGCCATGGTGGTTAGCATTAGACTGCTTTGGCGCCCCAGTGCACGCCGTGACTCGCTTCCGCTCCCTCAATGTGCCATACCTCTGGCGGGACGATGGGCAAGCCATCACAATATGGCTTGCGACGGGTCCAACTGTGCAGCCCTTCTTGATGTAGGCGATATTCGAGGGCGCCTGCCCGTGTGCTCGTTTAAAGCGTGTTCAAGGTGCAGTACCGTGTCTGGCTTGTCTCAAGTGTTTGATTCTTTCAATCTCTGCCGTTCCGTTCCCACGCTTCGCCCCCCCTCCCCCCTCCTCCCGTCTGCCCACCCCCTGCCCGATCCTTCGTCAGCCCGTGTGGTGTTGTCTCGACGCCCTGAGGCTGCACACCCACCCCTCGAAGCGACGAGGCACAACAACGCCCGCGAGCGAAAAGAACAAAGTGGGAATCCGGTCTGAAATCAGCATCCGACAGCCTGACGGGCCGTGCAGAGAGAGAGAGGGAGACAGAGAGAAGTAGCCCCGTGACCCCGAGGCTCCTCCCTCACTCGCAGAACACCACGCACATGCACACCAACCCACACCCCTTGGACGGCCAGACAGGATAGCCAGCCAGCCAGCCGACAGCGTGTATTGTACGACGTCCATAGATATCAATCAGCCGTCGGCGACGCACGGCTGCAGCGCCGGCGACTTGAATCGTCATCCGGCGGCGGCAGCGGCGTGTGTGAGACGAAGAGACTCGGCGAGGGTTGTTCCGCTCCGAGGGCAGTGCCGGGGGACCTCTGCTCGATCCCAGCAGCCACAGCGGTGGCAGCAGCAGCGAGCGAGCTTGCTTGCTTGCTTCCGACGAGCCCACGAGGATTCTCCTCGGGTTTCTCCTGGAACGGTCGATCTGCAGTGCATCGCGGCCTGTCCTTGGATCTCGACCAGGGCCCCTGCAACGACTGTCCGAAAAGCGCTCCTGCGCCGGCGCAGCGTCGATTGGGCGGCCTGGCATGCGTGGGCGCATCGCTCGGCCAAGGCATTACTACGGGTCGTGCACATCCTCACTCTAAACCGCCTTCGTCTGTCATCTGCATTGCCGTTGCAAGGGACTGAGCGTCGGGCTAAGTGCAGTTGGAGGTGGGCTTTTTGCCAACGGTCCGCCGCCTCATCGCCCGCTCAAACGCAATTTGGACAGGGAACGACAGGTCCACCGACGACGCTACGGTGCGAACGGGCTTTGTGCTGAATCTCGCCAATCCGCCAGACATTGTACTTGAACGCTGCAGGCCCGAATTCCTGGCACTGCTATACATCTGCCCGTACCCGTCGCTCAGACTACTATCCATCTCGTCATCACTCGTTCGCCGCTCACCACACTCACCCCCCCTTCACCCACTTTTGCATAACTTATTACAACTCTCTCCCCATCACCCACCCACTGCAGTGACCCGTGACCCTCAGCTCCTCCACCTCCACCACACCCTCCTCCATGGCAATGCATCTCGCCAGCATGGTACACGGCAGCGTTCGGGACCGCGAGGCCTTTCAGCACCCGGCATACTACCAACAACCCCAGCCTCGTGGATACGCCATGTCGGGTGTTGCGGCCTCCTCATACCCGGTACAACCACCAGCCCACACACAGCAAGTCGAGCAGCAATACCGACAGCAAGTGCAACATCAGCAACAACAACAACAACAACAACAACACCAACAACAACAACCACAAAAGCAGCAACGGCCTCAGTCTCCCCCTTCACCCCCGGCCGAGGAGAAGAAGCCTTCGCTTCCGTCCATCTCGAGTCTCCTCGAGTTTGCTGGCAACGAAAAGACCGCATCCTCTGATTCAGGTAAGTCCTTGACACTTCCATCAATCTCTCCCCTGGCCTTGTCGCTAACTCGGTTCCTAGCTTCCCAGAGCCCTCAGTCACAGCAACGAAAGTCTGCATCTCCACAACTGAGGCAAGAACAACAGCCGCAACCACAATACACTCCAGTTTCGGCCCCGAACAACTCACGGATGACCCTGCCCCCGACTCCACCAATGCACCCCGACGTTGCACACGACGGCAACCAGTCCCCTTCGGCAGCATCCAACCACTCAGCAGCTTCTACTCCCTACTTTGTCGGCGGTGCGCTCAACAACATGGAGCCTCACCAACAACGGCAGAACTTCTCCACAGTGCCTCCAATGAAGCGTGACTCGATGCAGTCGCACTCCATGTCGCCCTACAGTGCTTCCATGTACGGCCAGTCTCCCTACCAGTCCTCGCCAGGAGCTGCGTCATCAGCCTCATTCTACTCGCCCGAGCAGCACTCGTACAACACCACACCACTCTATTCGCAGCGTCCTTTGCCTTCAAACTTCCAGCCGCACGCAATGCCTCTGCCTGTACCTGTACCGAGCCCTGCCGCCAACGGCTCAAACCCATGGCAACATCACCACTACATCAGCACTTCAAGCCAGTCACAGTTCCCACAGCCACAGGACCGCTACATCTGCTCCACCTGCAACAAGGCCTTTTCGCGCCCGAGCAGCTTGCGCATCCACAGCCACAGCCACACGGGCGAGAAGCCGTACAAGTGCCCACAACCCGGATGCGGCAAAGCCTTCAGCGTCCGCAGCAACATGAAGCGACATGAGCGAGGCTGCCATGCAGCCTCCAGCACCACCCTGACGGCATGATGGGCCAAAAGCCGCCGCACCTAATCGTCTTACGCAATCGGCCTTGACAAGCCTGGACATACTCAGAGTCTCCTTCCTATGACATGCTTTGTTCTGTCATATCTCGCCAACGATACCATTTGCACGACTTCTGCATCGGCGCCTGGGGGTTTCCCACCATGTTATGCATTTCAATGGAGTTTTCGTGTTTGTTAACGATATCCTACTTCGCCATCAGTCGCGATGTTGTACGCTTATTTCCCCACATCTTATTTCTGGGTTTTTCTCATCTGACAGACTTTTTTCTGTCTCGCATCTGGGAGCGCGGCATCATTTTTTTACCCGATAAATAACTTTTATTTCTTTCTACTATAGTAGAGACGTTGCGTTATGCAACCAAATGCTATGACATGTGTCAAATTGCACAAATCAATATATTACTATCTCATGACATTTTTTCCGATGATCAACTGATAAGCGCGCTCTTGCTCTATCGCCACGTTTTTGGTGATTGAGATTGATCAGGCAGGGGAACGATGCTGTGCCTGGAACGTGTCGTGGCTTCCAAACCTAGTGGAAACTGAAGACGTCGGGGCACAGCACTTGGGAGCTCACAACTTCAAACCAAGACGTCTTTGCTGTTCGCAATGGATAACCCATGGAACCAGGCTTGCGTAATGGCTGCGTCGAATTTGAGGAAACAGTCGCCGAGAGAGCTCCGTCATTTCAACGGCTCCTTGGCTACGCACACACAAGTACATCTCGCCAGAGACCCACCTCGGTCGATCTTCGTCCCCCATCCATTGTTGCACGTCCCCTCCCCGGCTTATACACCAACGTAATAACGATTAGCTGGGCATGGAGGGCCGATGGAAAGGAAAAAAAAAGGGTCAGTTGAGCATCCCCCAGTTCTGTGGTGCTACGCTCCCCGGCCGCATAATGCAGCCTGTTATGATCAGGGCTGGCGTTCATGGTCTCATTTATCCGCCGCCTACCGCTGTCCGGGTACCGGCCAACAATGGTCATTGCCAATAGCGACTTCGGCACACCCAATAAAGGAGACTGTAAAACGTAAAGAGCCTAGAGATCAGTTCATATGACTGAAAACTACATCCCCCCTTTTTTTTCGCGTTCAATGCCGCAAGCACAATAGACTGCCTTGGTAGCTTGTATGGATTAAACTTGATTACCCTCTGCCTGAGGCCTTTTTGTTTCGCCGTCAGCAGTACAGGTCGCATGAGTCGTCTTAGCGCTGAACTGCTTGGCCATGTTATTACTTGCAGCTACATGTGCTGTCTTTCCAATGTCGTCATTCACACCACTTGTCGGATGTCTGGTAATCTATAGCCGTCCATACAAACAACCTACGAGGACCAACAACAACAACAACACTAAAGTTCAAACCTGTACACCATTGGGTCCCCCTCCCTCGTCTCAAAAATAAAAAACCCCCTTCGCTTTTTTTCTGCGACCGGGGATTCATAGCGATATTGCTTGCGCAGTGCACATGTGACGAAAGCCGCATGTGGCTTGCTTCGCATGGAGCCTCAACCCCCCCATCCATCTGCACTTGAATGTATCTAGCATGTAAAGTACTCTGAATCAAACGACAGAGGCATGAAGCTAGAGCGACGATCATCACTTAACAATTCCCCGAGCGCGGTGATGCTCACCCGACCAGAATCCGAGCCCCAGGTCCCGCTGGATAACGAATTTGGAGGAATCCAATAAGTCTGAAACCCCAAGCTCTGGGCTTGGCCCATAGCAAAATGCACGAGCGGCTACTACTGCTTTGGCCCTTAGCAAGCTTTCGGGAGGCGCTTTTCCCCCTCCACATTGGCCCGATGACAAGCTTGCAGGTTAGAGTAAGGTAAGCTCGGTTAGGCCTTCTCGGGCGGTCGTAGTCAAAAGGGCAAAAGAAGCAAAAACGCAAAACATCAATCGTCTGATGGGGGAGGGAACCCTTACTGCAACAAGTAAAGTAAGGGAATCCTGCCAAACCGTTCGGCGGAACCGAAATATCTTCTCTTTCCCTTTTTTGAATCACTCTGACTTAGATTCGGACTTGATTACCGTGTTAACTACTCAGTGCCCTGGAAAAAAACAACAACTTTGTATGGCTTTTGTTCCCTTTTCAAACACACGCTGTGCCCCCCTTTCCCTCCTCCCCCCCCCCCACAAACCGGCGGGGAAAAAAGAAACAATGGTGGAAATGCCACACCACTTGAGAGGGGGGTGTGCGAGCGGAGGACACACGGAGCAAGTCTGCGACTTGTCAGGCGACATGCGATTTCGCGCATGCATGTAACGTACATACAGACTACAGGATGAGTACGTATGTGATGGACTTAAGCGAGGTGGTCAGCCGCTGGGAGGACGGGCACCAAAAGCAATCGCGGGAGGTAGATGAACAGAGGTGCGCCACGTCGTCGAAGAGGCACCCAGTGTGCCAATCGGGTTTGATGGTGAGAAGGGTGGATCAGTGCATCCGTTCAAGCCCGTGGATCGTGCTTGGAGAGAGATCTGCGCATCATCTGTTCGGAGGAGGGGGCGGCTCTGGGCCCATTCCCAGTCTCGTGGAATATGTTTCACCTGACTGGTTTTCCCTTTCTTGCTCTCCCCTTTGCCAATTTCCCGGCCCTCGCTTGCTTTGGAGCGGCTGACATGCAAAGGTCGTCACCACACGGACAGCCTCGCGCTGCTTGTTTTGTTATCTACTCTTTTCATTTACAATCATGTATTGCATGCCCGGTTCCGATGGCTGCTGCAGCTGTGCGTGTCATGGGCAAGAAGGGAGGGGAGGGGGATGGGGGGGCCAAAGGGACGGAGGGCACGGCTTCGATGTATGCCGTCACTGTGCGTCCACGGCTTCTTCGGCGACCAAAGCAAAAGATGCTTACACAGAAACGGCAGTACAAAAAAAGAGGCATCGTACCATGTTGCCGTCACGAGGGCTGCATTCAAGTATTGGGGAATGGCGGCGTGGGTGAGAGAGGCCAACCAGCCCCCTGGTACTAAGATGCCAGCCACTTGGTGCGCGTCTTACTTTAGTATAGGTCGCCAACACGGCCAGCAATTGCACCCTTTTTTTGTTGCTGGCACTTCGGAACCAACCCGTGATTGTCCCTAGCGGTAGACGATGATGCGCTCGAAATAACATCACCTGCGCCATGATCACCTAGTTTCCGTGGGCGGCCACCCAGCCCAGCGCCAAATCGGTCAGCCTTGCGTTAGCAGAGCCAAGGCCGGACGCTCTTATTCCTCCATGTGCGCCATTTCCTCGTACTACACTATCTTTTCTTGGTCCATTTGTAGTCGTAGCATCTGGCTGTGGCTGGGCCACTTTGCAAGCACACGTGCGGGCGCCGCGGCGGTGCGCGCGGTCATTGTCTATTACTACGCGCATAGTAGGTACACGTATGTACAAGGTATCGTCGACGACCTCCAGCCATGATCCCTGGATGCCAACCTTCGAGAAGGAATCCGCCCATACCGACGTGCGACCGTTGGCCCTTTGGTTGCCTCGACCAGTTAGCCGCGTGTCCCTATGGCCGCGCCCAGCTCAGGCACTCGCACGCCAAAACGGGCTATACGGACGAGCAAGTTGCAATGGGCATGGAACAAGGGACGTAGGGTTGTCAGAACCGCGATCGACGGCCATGCATTCTGAATTGCTACACACTTACAGCTGCCGGGCATGGATTCCAATCCATTGCGGGTGTATTGTGGAGATGGCAGGTTCGCATTCGCACTGGCTGCAAGAGCGGTGAGTATCATGCTGCACTGTGGTCGAGGAAAAAAAACCCACCCCGCCCAATAGCACCAGCAACCTCGGTCATTAACATTCACCATCTTGACACTCGAGGCGACACGTCAATGTCGGAGCATTCCACTGCGTTACCAGCATGTCCCAAGCGCCAGCATCCCACTCACGCCAGCGTGACAGCTGTGATCGCCCTCTTACCGCCGCACGAACGCTCATGCCTACCCTTTGTCCGTTCGCACCACGATGCATATGAACCGCATTCTAGCGCCAGGCGAGCAAATACTCCGACACTAGGGCTCCATGCGGAATCGACGTCAAGGCCGTGCTGCAGATGACAGATGGGATCATCCTAGCTTGCCCAAAGCACTCTTCCCCCAGGCCCTGTCCCTGCACATCCGCAACCCTAAAACTAATCATCTCTCACTTTCCGGAGAGAAGTCCCTTTGAGTCAGCATACATACATACTATGGAGACGCACGCCTAAGGGCCGACTCGTGGGACTACTTGCTGGCACCAAAGCGCCATTGCGCCATGTCGGACATTTTGCATCGCGCGACCGGTCTCTTGACCCTCCCCTTCCCCCCCCCCTTGCCGGAAGAACGATGTTTTGCGGAAGAATCCCCCCAAAAAAAGTTCTCGGAAGGGTGGTGGGCTTGTCCGATTGTTGATCGCCTCACTAAGATGCTCGCTACCAAACAAAATTTCATAAGGCAGAAGTTGAGCGATAAAGTTTGGCTATTCTGCGGGAACTAGCATCGCGCATATCGCGCAACTCTGTTTCGTCTCAGGTTCCTTTCCCAAGCATCCTCGCGTATAAAACTTCTTCCAGCATCATGCCTGTTGACGGCCGGGTGATGATCAGATGACGGAGTGCCACGCCGTTCCCCCTCATCTCATTCTTGGGTTGCGACGTCAAGCGTCTTCGCCATGGAAAGTACCATGTTACGGCCGAAGGAAATCGTGAAGCGTGGCCTGGATGGATGCTTCCTACTCCTGCTACTAGGAAATCCCTGGCTCCCGCCCCCCCTCATCCTCGTGGCTGTCTCCGCTACGATCAGAGCCAAGGTGTTGCAACTAGTACGACGTCTCATTCCCTCGTCAAACAAAACGTGACGGCCGTCACCGCCATTCGAGGTACTGGGTACGACCCAGCGTGCCATATCCAGGTACGGGCAGCTGCTGGAACAGTGTCAAGAAAAAAACGATAGAATCAATTTCATGCCTTGTATGCAATGCCTGGCCGCTGGGCTCTCGAGAAAGGCCATGGTACGTGATGGTCGCAGCGTCAGGCTTTCCAAACACGAAGGAAAAAAACAACCTCGGCGTTTTTTTTCTCAGCGCAAAATGCGTGGGGTACCCATTTACGCCTCGTCCCTCGCAATCCTTTCCTATACTTACACTCCCTGCATCTGATTGGCGCGTTCTCTACTTACTAGTTAGCAACGCACCTAGTAATCCCCCCGTCTCGAAGTCCATCACTTACAAACCAAACCCAACGAATGCACCTTCGCACGTACCCCTCCCACTCCTTCCGCCCTAAGTGCAATTTTGGTACCCTAAAGTAAATCTCTAAAAAAAAAACCCCGAGCGAAAGAAGCTGGATGCCTCGTTCCCTAGTTGATAGCATCTACCATCTAATTACCGAGGATGAACCCAAGAAAAAGGAAATAGTTAACGGTATCCATTTTACTAAGCATACACACCCCGTTACGTCCGTAAGGGAACCAAAAAACAAAATATTTACCTGACTCGAGAAAGAGAGCAAACCAGCATCGAGACCGCCGTCCACCTCAGCCCCAAACGAGAAAATGCCACAATCGTACTTTCCATCTACTGAATACGATGCGGGAGTAGGGGGGGGGTCGTGTGCGATGGACGAGGGACCGGGAACTGGGGTAAAAAAAAAACCAAGCCCAAATCTTCCCATACAGTCAGCTGGCGATTGGTCCGACCACCACCACAACCATCGTCCCTCTCTCGGCGCCTCTTTTCTTTACCCTCTTTCTCTTACTCTCTTCGTAACTTTTGACTTACTAGACTAGAGTAACTATTAGCTTATAGCGATCCTTCTGTCTTTTCACACTATACCCAACTTCGTAGTTGGATCCATACCTGGTTCTCGTATCCCCTCCCCCCACCCCCCTTCCCCGCGACATGCATTTTACTTTATCTTTACGCGCAACGCAAGCCCCCGGGCGGGCCGCGCTCTTTCGAGTAGCATCACACGTGTGTTTCTCTTTTTTTTTGCGAGAGAATGAGAGGGATTAACTAGAGGATATAGTTTCGGTAGGATAGGCGGCCGTGGGGATCATCACGATGAGCAGAGCATCGCGTATGGCGTAGAGAGACATGAAAAGCTTCGGAACCCCCCCCCCCCACTCACCCTTTCTTTCCGCTATGCCTACCGGCATATCCGCGGTTCGGCTCTTTTTTGCCGTTCTTTTGTGTGATTTGCTGCACTTTTGGCTTTTTTTTGCGTGTGAGTGAGTGAGAAAATGGGACCGGGTGCGGAATTAGATGACACTTTTTTTTGGGTTCCTATCTTAGAAGGGAACGCGCGCTCATGCGCGTTTGTTATGGGTGAGCAAGAGAGAGTATGGGAGCGCGATTTGGTAGACGCGCGTTCTTTTTTTGCCCATCTTTACATGATTAAGTGTTTTTTTTGGGAGGGGGGGCGTCTCTCGGTCAGAATTTGGTGTTGAGGGGAGATGATGGGAATATCAATTTCTCTTTTTGGGAGGGTCTCAACCCGATTGCGATGGAGATGGATGACAGACGTAGGTTTGTGAGAGCGTCTCGGTGTCAGATAAGGGACGACCAAGCTTTGTCAGACTTCACTGCCGGTTCTTAATGCCGTTACACAGTACAAGAGGCTGGTGCTTGGCTTCCTCGTACTCTGGCTTACCTGGCTCGTGTTGTAGATGAGGCGGTGCGCATCTCTATCTTCTTTTTTTTCCTTTTCGGATTTATAATTTTGGATGAGGGCAAAGCTTAGGCAAGGTCGGGTAGAGCTTTTCATACGTGAGATTATGTGTCTTTTGCGAATGCGAGGTATAGAGATATGCGGCTTGCATTTCTCTACCGTTCAGGTCAGCCCCTTGGGAGAGGAAGACTGGCGGTGAGTATGTGCGTAAGGGGGGAGATGAAGTACGTACGCGATGTGCAGGGGAGAATGAATTACGCATGGCAAGATATGCAAAGACGCAGTATCTGCAGCTTCTTTAGAGTAGATGAGAAGCTTCCAAGGTAAAAAGAATGTCTATCAGGTCAGAAAAACACACAGTGGTTCTCTATGTTCTTTTTCTCTATCTCCCCCTAGTTTCCCCACCACAGTTCCAACAAACCCTCACTATATTATGCTCGAATCTGTTATGCAAATCAAATATCCCCTCCCCTTTCTCCTCTTACCTCCCTGTGTACCCTTCTCTCAACCAGAAAAAAAATTAACATATTTGTGCAATAAACGTGGGAACAGATACACGCCAAGATTCTCTACAACTAAGTCTATTCATTCTGACTTCGGCCTTGGTTATTCGTATCTATTCAACGTATACCGCATCAGACTTAACTCCTCAGAAAACAACGGCAGATCACACCCCAACCTGTCGGAACTGTGTATCCCCCAAAAAAAGAAACGACTTGTCATTCAGAATAATGGGTTATATTTCGTGTCATTCTTGGTTTTCACCTCATGCTTTCCAACAGTCCATCTGGAAATCCGCAATAATAGTCGAAAAAATTGGTAGAATAGAGAATATGTACAACTTCCCCCCAGCCGCGGCCCCGACAACGGATGAATGATATACGGGAGAAGTAGAAAAGTCTCAAGCAGCGCAAAGGGGGCATGGCAGAAATGTTCTGTAGTTGGAAATAGAAAGTTTGACACACCTACTACTGTTCTGTTTCTCTGTGTTTTTCTTGTTCCAGCCCAGTTAAGCGCCTTGGGTATGCGTCTCGAAGGGTTGCAGATGGCGAAGTTCACTGGCAAACTGGACACTTGTACGATGGGAGGATTCCTTCTGATAGTGTAGTGTGGAAGTATTGTGCCGTTATGCGGGGGAAGTGTAGTAGAGGGGGACTTGGGAGGCGGGTAGATTGTGTGCATCGAGGACGAGGTGGGCATTTGTGGATAAGTGGTATGGACGCGGGAGGGAGGTAAGGAGGGATGGAACCTTGTGTAAGATGATGAGGTGGACTCTTAGGTGCAACTGAGACTGATTGAGAAAGCGATATAGTAGAAGAGGAGAGGCGAGGGAGAAATATTCGGGATGGACATGGCTGTTTTTGACTATTCTCTTTCTCTTTTGTTTGGATTGAATCATATTGTTGTGTTACTCGTGTCGGACGAGGAATGCTCCTCTTTTTTTTCATAGACCTGCGCATGAGGACTGATATGTAGAAGTGGCGATGAAGTGAAGAGCGCTCAACTAGTGCTCAAAGAGTAGACATCCAATATGTGGTAGAACATTATGCAGCGGCGAGGGGTTACAAGAGAAATGTATGATACACGTCGATATTACGGAAAAAAAGTATTCATTTTTACTAGAGTCCGCGTGGTGATGTTATGCATCAAGTGGTATAAGAATATACAATGAGGTGATATTCAATGGAGAGCCTGGCAACAATATGGTATGACGACGTTGTAGGCGAATCTAGTGTTACTGGGTAGTTGATAGGAAGAGGAGCAATCAAGATTATATGTACGGAAGACCTAGGAAAATAGAGGCAGGGTGTCATGCCTAGTAACAATCAAATCGTGTACCATAGAGTCCGTAGACAACGTCATGTGACGGAAATCACAAGTAGAGCCTTTGGCTTCCACAACTTCCCATGTCTGATGTATGATCTAGCCGTGAATCATCAACAACCCTACAACTCAAACAAACCCTGCTCTTGCTGGCCAAGACCGAACCAGCTACTCAAGGTGCCCCACGCACTACTCTTCTCACCCGGCAACTGGACGCCATCAATCTCCTCTTGGGTAACGCTGAACCACTCCTCTTTGGAAATCCAGCCAATGTAAGCGCGGTCTCCAAAACCTCCGATCCAGTAAATATCATCAACAACCAGCCTCACCCACTTGCTCTCATGGATCCTGTTGCCTGGAAGCCACCACGCAGCATCGGGGTGTTTCTTGACAAAGCAAGCCGTCACGCCTAGTTTCTCTACAGCATCCATATCAATGTCCTCCAAATGGCCTATGAGCGAGAAGCGGGGAAGCGATGCGGGACTGCGCCACTTATTATCTTGAGGGTGCCAGCGCATGCTCAGCGTGATGTTGGACCCGGCATCAACATTCTTGAAAGACGTAGCGATGGTGATGGCGAGAATGGTTGGGTTGCCGGACTCAGGTTCGCAGTCACCGAAATAGTCCATGAGACCTATGGGCGTGCCCGCCACTTCAGAGGGTCGTTGCTCGGTGGCGTGTGGCGCGCTGGGAAAGATGGTCGAAAGGGTGCCGATGTTCTCCAGGCGCATAATTCTGCGGGCTTGGACGGCGGATTCATGGACAGTAGGAATCTTGTAGTTGGGCTTTTCGGGGGCCGAGGGATTTGCGAATAGGTGTTGTGGTGATGGGACGTTAGTAGCTGTGGTTAGGGCGATAAAGCCCAGAAGGGTGTTATGAAGATGCATTACGACGTTACTTGCAACTGTGCAGCTGGAGGGCAAGAACAAGGAGAATCAGGTGTAGGGTGGTGACAGTAAGCTATCAGTCAAGTGGTGGTAGAGGCAAACATCGACGCGTCCAAACGAAGCTACGGGACGCATCATGCGCATCATGCGATCGGCAGCGGGGATATCCGGCTGAGACTAGGCCGAAACCTATTTGGCAGTCCGACTGGAATGCGATAGCTTTGCGTATCGAGTCTTTGAAGCAGTTTATTCGAGGCATCTATATACCATGCAAGTGTAATTGGAGTCTCGCCGAGCATGTTTGTATAGGAGATCATAGTTCGTCAGCATTATCTTATCTGATCATCAGGCAGAGTGAAGGCGCGCTTTGCTGTGTATCGCGACATAGCTAGAAACACAAGTCTCAATATCCACACCTCAAAATACCATAGAAAGGTAGCGCGTCTGAAATTGATCTTTTCAAATTCTGTTCATGTTCGCAATCGTAATGTGCTGTTGCATCACTGTGTTGAAGATGGAGTTGCGCGCTAGTATAGCACGTGATCTCGGTTAATCCGCTGGTGCGCTCTTACACAGGCATTTTCAACACCATTGTCGCGGCCCAGCCATCCAACACCCAGCGACCGCACCCGCAAACTGTACGTATACCGCCAACCCCCGCAATCACAACTGCATCAAATCCGAGGCCTAGCGACAAAAAGCTTTTACAGCCCTCCCACCCGACGTCTAGAAACAAGAAGTACGCCCGCTAACAGGAGTTCGCCACCCTACAGACAAACTCGACTCATCAACAACCGCAAATATGGGAAAGGTTCACGGATCCCTCGCTCGTGCCGGAAAGGTCAAGTCTCAGAGTAAGTCTTGGCTCGTGTTGAAACGAAGATGAATGTCTGCTAACAAGTACTCAGCCCCCAAGGTAAGCATCCTTATCAAGACACGCCGTCCCGACCGAACGCACCACGTCGAACGACGACCTCGCAACCATGATAGGACCTAGGCTATGGACTATAATCATGAGAATTGATCTAACACCTCACCAGGTTGAGCCCCAAGAGAAGAAGAAGACCCCCAAGGGCCGCGCGAAGAAGAGGCTCACATACACCCGCCGTTTCGTCAACGTCACCATGACCGGTGGCAAGCGCAAGGTCCGTTGAGAATGAAAGCACCCATGACGAGTATATGCTGACGGAAAGCAGATGAACCCTAACCCCACCTCATAAGCCAAGCACGAGAGGAAGGGCGCATGAAACGAGCACGATGAGCTAGAGAATACGGTCATGAATTCGGTTTCCTCAGTACAGCTATGACTCTGGATCAGAGGGAGTGGGAATCACGGACGTCGCTACGGCACGTTCCTTTGCAGAAGCATGATCCCACACTTTGGGATGATGGGGGCATATTCATGGCGTAAATGTATATTCTGCTTTTTGCACGGCTGCATCACGAAATCCAGATGCTTGTGATTCCATGTCTATTGTCTCGACTGGTGATATTTATTACACTGCTCTTATGTGATGATTTTGTCTCCACTTTCGCCACAGGCCTACAAAATAGCTGATCTAGAGCTCGGCTCTATTCGCTGATTACAATCAAATATCTGTTTGGTTTGCCTACTCTTGCTGACGGTCTTTTCTAGATTATATACATGATTCTCGTATTTTATATCATCTAATTTGATACAGTCATGACTATGGCGACCAATGATTAAGCATCTAGACAACAGTACAATAGACGTCTTGTCGATAGCGCCTCCGCAGGAACTCCGACAGATGGGGTAGGCAGAAGCGAGACGATCTACGTCACACCCGAACCTCAACTCAAGCTGTCAAAGCACCATCTCGACTTCATTTGCAAACCTACCAGCTCGGCGTCAGAACACATCACTGCAAATATGTTCAAGCGACTATTTGGAGAGGTAAATTGATGTCTGCAATTCATTGGGAACTACTCATTGACTTTTCTTTAGCACGGCGCAAAGAATGTCGTAACTCTCTTCCATGCGCCTTCCAACCAAGCCTCAACGCGTGTCCTCACCCTACTCAAACAAGCTAATGCGCAATCTGTTGCGCATGCAACCGGAGATCAAGCATCATCTCACCAAGCCCAAGACAAGGCTGAGCGCACAGAATTCGAGCTCGATGTTACAGAGGCACCACCTACCACCGACCAGCTCAAGAACATTCTGGACTACCTAGGCGGACCAAGCGCGGCAGGAAAAGTCATCAGTGGTGCAGAGAGCGAGAGCGATGCTATGCGACGGTTGAAGGCTGATGCCGCGACATTCCAACGACCGCTGGTCGTGGATTGGAACCAGGGCAAGGCGGGTAAGTTTAATCCACGACAACGCGAGAGCCTACATTGCGATACTAGATTACTGACGATAGACAGTCATTGGTGAAAACGAAAGTGAAATCATGAAGCTGGTACGCTCAGTGTCGAAGGAAAAAGACAGCGCGTAGGGAGAGTAGGGTAGACTGACCTGCACTATACCTACTGCATCGACTCAGAACACTGTAAAATGAGTCGTATATCAAATTCAGCAGAGATAAGTATCTGAAAGGTACTGCTGGGCCTTTCATCTCCTCATAGCTTGACCGCTTGATGGTTGACGCGATATGCTTTCAAGCGACGGGTGGTTGCATCTCTCAACAGAGATTAATCCACACATCTGTATATGTAAAACATGCCTTATAAGAAACTTTCTTAGTTACTCCCAAAGAATGGGTGCAGCAGTTCTCGTTTGTTCCATGCTTCATACAACTTCATTTCCAAATGTGCAGCCTTTCTCTCTCGTCATGTTCATTGCTTCGCATACCAAGCGCCTCTACGTTAGGCAAAAACTGCTTTCTGTAAATCATGATGCTAAGGAGCGCATGATTCGACCAATGGGGTGTGGTGATGGCGCGTTGTTCACCTTCACTTCCACCCTCACCTCTGCCTCGTTCTTGACACGTAGAATCTGCCTGCCTTTTCCACCTGAAGCAATCGTAAACAAACATTTGTCCCACCAGTCCCACTTCTTCTCTAATACCATCCGTTTCTCAATTCCATTTTCATCGAGACCCAAGGTTGCATCTTGCACTGCAGCCGCGCTTTCCTCAACTGGAATTGCTGTTTCCCCGCAGATATCTACCAAAGCGCGCCCTTTCCTTCGTAAGCCAGCATCATTTGCTGCATCTCTCAGTCGCGTAAGAGTCTGACCCTCAACCGACTATCCCGTCTGCTGTTCTAGAGCCGGCTAGCACAAGTCCCAAGCAACGACCACTGCCACTGTTACCAAAATGGGTGACTCCGTTAATTCTATTCAACATGCGAATAGAGACGCGAGATTTTTGCCAGGCATGCGACGAGCTTTCTTTTCCACTGAGCTTGGAACGCAACCCCACCGTCTGATAGGCTCAGGCCTTATACCTACGGTTGTGCGCAGTACGAACGATCCTGTAGCTGTGGTACAGGCTGCGAGGTACTGGCAGATCAAATACAAAAGTGAGTATACTTCTTTGCGAAGAGCGTACAAACTAGTCGCTAACTACGGTCAAGACCAATGCCTGTGTATATTTCCCAACCAACGCTGGACCGTTGAGGATCTCTGGGATGCTGCAGATATCTTTGTCGAGGGCAGGCAATTCTGCGAGCAGATGCTTACCTTCATCGCGCGTGACACCTTGTATGCCGCAGATAAATTTGCTAAGGACTGGGCTCGAGAACATCCGGATCGATTTGATTTCACTGGCATCAATATCGGAAATGTGTACGATTTCAATGATCCCCTCACAGCTCTCGATCAGATCTTTGTCTTCGGCGAACTCACTTCCTTTCCTCGAGCGTTCCTCTGGCATGTTGCCTTCATCTTGATTGCCAGCTGGAACGACTCCAACTTGGCCAACAATGCTGCATTGAATTCAATTCGGAACCAGCAACTTTCTGTTGGGGCGCAGCAAGATGTAGGTGAGGCAAAAGCAACAATCATCGCAGTTGCGAAATCCGACAGCAAGAAAGCCGGTAAGAAGTGCTACAGACAGTGATGATTCAGACCAAAAAGGCTGACACAACTGACAGAGAACTTACCAGATGAGACCGGTCGTACGGCTACCGCAGCCCTCAGTATGTCAGATCAGTCAAGATTGCAACCGCCATACCAACGTGCTACACCCTATGTGCCGCAACAGCCAGGTGAATTCCAAAGCCACCCAAGATACTGCGGCATGGAGCGCACGATAGACGCGCCAATGGAGTCTCATAATACACGTGCGCAAGTCTTGAAAGGACCCAAGGGTAGTCGAAATCTGAGTTCTGGGCTATACAACCAGCCGCAAGGCTGGGTAGAGAACGGAAGTCGTACAGTTCCTGGACCGCATTCGCGGCGGGATCCTGTTGGAATGCCTGGAACACAACCGACTCAGTACATTCCGGTCCAAATGGCTGGTGGTCCGCAGATGCCCGCCCCAATCATTCCAGGTCCTACAATGAATCCCTATTTGCTGGGGCCACCGATGATGCCTCATCCAGGATATCCTGTCCAGACTATGGAACCAGCAGTAGCGTCTCAGGGGCACACGGGCTTCCAACCAGGTGTCGCACGAGGAATGCAGATGAACCCAGCTTATCTCAACGATCCACAAGCACCACAACCAATGTTGATGGGCGAGATGACGAATATGCACTTTTCGGGTCATGTGGGTTCCCAAGGCATAGATCCTCGAGCACCAATACCTCGCCGTTCCAGCCATTCAGGCGCAAATCAACTCTATGACCCGTACAATGGTAACAACCGCAAGTTTAGCGCCGGGCAGGCGTACGGTGACATGGGAAAGAAAGGTGGCCCTTACGGTTTCACAGCTCCGCAGCACCGAGGTAGAAAGATGTCCACTTCGAGTGGCCGTCCAGTCCATAGTAGTCATAGCCATACGCTTCCAACAGGCCCACGCTATAACGAAATCAATAGTAGACGGCGTCAGTCAGAGGATGATCCGAACATCACAGGCGATACCGTTTCCGGATGTGGTCACACCTGGATTGGCCCTAACAATGCTACTGTCAAAGAGCTTTGGGTTGGAGATCTGCCCCCGGATGTCAGCGAAAGCGAGATTCTGCAACTGTTCGAACAGACAATCGGAATCACTCCTACTGCAATTTCATTAAGGCACAATGCAGGAAAAGGCCCTTTCCATGCTTTCGCAACGTGAGTAGATCGTTCCTCAGCCTTCTGAACTAGCTAACATATGCAGATTTGCATCATGCGATGATGCAAAGGTGGCTCTGACTATCAATCAATTTGACCCTCAGCTACGAAACTGCGAGGTTCGGCCGACAGTCTCAGTACCACGGCGGTTCTATCAGAAAGAGTCACCCCCAACAGTATACTCTGATTACTCACGCGCAAGCCAGGCAGCTAGCAGTCATATTCGTGTTACGACCAATCTACCCCATAGCGAAAGGAGTACTGCCTTCAATAGCGATGATACAATGGTTAAAGCGAGAGATGTGGTATTGTACTCCCCCCAGGATGCTAGAAGCGGCCTGCCAAAGAAGCCTGTTGCACAATCGGATATCGCCAGTCATGCAGAGACTGGTGTTCCTGAATCGGAAAATTCAAAACGCCAAAAAAAGTCTCCCGCAAAGAAAGCTAGGAACAAAAACAAGCGCGAGTCGCCATTCAAGAAGGAGCCTTCCATACATGAGGAACCAGAGGTCGATGAAGAATCGGAAGTCAATGTAATGTCTCCAGCTATCACCAAGGACGACGAATCTTGCAGAGCGGATGATCAGAGTGTCGAAAATACTCACTCAACCGAATTTCAAGTTGTTTCACCATCGGATCCCGGCAAAGAGGTGTGTCATGCGGCAGACGAGGGGCGAGAATCGATTGCACAACCACCTGAGCAGTCTAGCCAATTGGATAGTGCTCAAAACAAAGACAAGACATCTCACTCCACAATCCTACCCACTGATACGGATACCTATCTCGGAAAAAAGCCAATCCAAATCCCACAGAGTGACGATACGAGAAAATCGACCCCCGGAGCAGGAAATGAGGTTGAGGATGACGCTTCTGATACTGGAGTGAAGAACAACAACAGCTTTGACTCCGCGCCAGAAGTGCAGTCTGAAGCTACGCAAATGGAGCCAAAACCAGAGGTCCGGGACCAAGCAAATACTGCGGACCATGGTACCGTCGCTCCACCTTCACAAATTATCTCGGGGAACCCACTACAAGACAGGCCCGAACCCCAAGTCATGGCTGAAGAGCGCGAGCCCGATACTGCTCGAGAGACGTACTCGGAGCCTGAAAAATCAAAAACTGTAGCCTCAAGCACTGAAAATATTCCAGACGCCTCCGAAACCGGGGAAACCTATAGCCAGGATAAAGAGGTAACTCTAGACACAGCACACAAAGAAGCTACTCTTGCACAACAGGGCGCAACCATGACAGCTCCTGTCGAACCGATTCCAACTGACACAGTCAAAAAAGCTGGAGCCCAGCAAATGCAGTCCCTTCATCCATTCGCGACGAAGAATAAGGCACAAGCAAAGAAGGAAAAAGAGACCAAGAAGAAGCAGCAGAAGAAGGAGGAGGCTGATCGAGTCGCCAAGGCCAAGGCCGACAAGATTGCATCCTTGAAGAAAGTGAAGATTGCCACAGATCCACAGCGAGAGCTTGAGACGTCCATGGGTTCAGCCAATCCATTCATAGCTGGTGCAAAAACCGAGAAGCATACTTCTGAGGAGACGAAGAAGTCCAAAGACCGAACTAAGGCGAAGACTACTGACGTTGGTACGGAAGACAATCAGAGGAATGTGAACAAGGCAGATGAGAGCGCCCAAAATCCAGCAGTTGAGCAAGCCTCATCAACTGAGCCTGAGCGGCAACTCGATTCTAAGTCTATTCTCTCACCACAGGTAATGAGCTCCACTTCTGTGTCAAAAAAAGCCATCTCCCCCAATACTCAGTCTCATGACGAAGCAAAGCCTTCTCACAAAGATTCTACTACTCCTGCTACTCACGAACCGAAATGCGAAACAGAATCAGACAAAAAGCCATCCACATCATTGCTGGCCATTCCAACTCCGTCTGCAAAGAAATCTGAACCTGATCAGTCTAGTAGGTTTAAAAGCACCTGAAACTAGGTACATCATGTAATAATTCCTAAAGCAGTTACGAAGCCTCGTCAATCTCTTTCACAGTACTCATCCACTTCAACCCTAGCTGGAGATGATGTTTACGAACCAACTGATGCTCGCTCTGCTCCTGACGGCAATATTGGCGCTCTAGCTCCTCCTCAAGACACACCTGCTGAGGAGACTGCCGCCCGGTCTGAACACGCCTCAGCCGAGACACCCAAAAAAAAGAAGAGGAAGAATAAGAAGAAAAATAAGAAGAAGACGCCCGCTTCCGAAGTTAGCACAGATGATCAATCTACAGCAAATGAACGTGCTCAAAGGCTTGTTGTTCCGCATGATTGGGACATGCACAGTTATGATCCCTTCACCTCGCAGATGACACATATTGAAGCCATCCGATATGCTGTCAAACATGATACTTCATCCTACTTTGCAAAAACCAATGCACGAATGGACACGAAAAGGAGGGCGCAGGAGGCTAACGAAGCATTATTGAATACACGTAAGTCTTGATCTATCCTTAGAGAGAATGCAGCTAACATACACACAAAGGCCAGAGTGAAGACGAAGGCGAGGGCGAAGGTAAAGGTGAAAGTAGCAATTCGGGCTGAAGCATCACTGAGTCCGCACCCTTGTCAGAGATTCGAAGATTATTTTGCGTACTTTGTCTAGCGGAGCGATGAAGCTTGTGAGAAGTAAGGCGTGAAGTATTCGTACGGGTACCAAGCATGCTTGCTGGAAACTTCTAACATGAATGCGGAATCACGCGGGCAATGGGAGTTTGATTGAGTCTTATCAGACGTGAGCAGGGTAATCTTAATTTTATGCGACATGACTAGTTCAGAAATTGAAATGAGAGCTAGACAACGACAATGCGAAGACGAGTGACGTTTCCCCGGAGAGATCGATTTTGCACAAACAGGAAGACAGCGTTGCACGTTAACATAACACTTTCATCTAATTCATCCAAAAAAATAAACATTACAATCCCATGAAACAAAGACGCTCGCATGCCAGCTAAACAAAAACGTCCAACCTCGCACTCATCTCATACCCACTGCGATAATCCCCAACTCCATACAACTCATCAAATACCCCTCGGAACCGCATAGCACATGCTTCCAACCTTACTCTTTCTTCCTCCACGCTCCCCACATCGAGCAGTACCTCGCGCCGGGCATTGCCAACGCCGAACCATATTGCACCTGCACTCTCACTCCAATTCGTCTTGATACTTTCCGCTAAGCTGCGGCGGCAGAAAGCGAGGAGCGCTGTGTGTTGGTCACCCGGCAGCGAAGCGTGCGCGTCGCCGGTGTACGAGGGTACGCTGTCGAGCTCCATGTTATGAAAAATCGCAAGAGTATATGCGATAAGATCATTGATGTATGTTATGAATGGAGGAACAGAAATGGTAGCGGAGGTACGGCTGATTATATATTCCAATGGCGGTAGAATAGATGTCATGGCATCGAGTATGTGGGTCAGCGCGGAGAGGACGTAGGGGCGATGCAGGAGGTGGCGGTTGTCTTTTAGTTGTTCTGTAGCGCGGATGAAGGCGTTGGATATGGATACAATGGAGGTGGCGATTAAAGCAAGACTTTCTGGTTGATTGATGCGGAGGTCAAAGATCATTGTGTCAAGGGTGGGTGGTAAGGCTTGTAAAATTGGGAGGCAGATGGCGAAGGCGGTGCTGGATGAGAGCATTTCTTCGAGGTATGCTGGGAAGATGGCTTGCAATAGTACGGATCGCAGTGTCGCTCTGTCGGCTGCTGGTGCTTGATCGGTACAAAGCGCGGTGGTGAGCTGGTGCACCAAGTATGTTTGTTGGTTGTCTGCGGCAGCTTGTTGCGCTACGGTTTGCATGAAGACTGACAGCTGTTTGGCTTTCCCAGAGTCTGATAGC